CTCCTTCCCCAAAAACTCATAATTGGACAAGTACTCAACTTATTTGAGCACACAAGATCCTATTTTGAATATGCAGGACTCTCATGTGAGGTATCATCATCAACATCTTAACCAGGCAAGATAACACTTCTAATAATCCTTGGTGATTTATCATCATATCTCCAGATTATTTCCAACCTCAAGAAAGAAAAACATCTCTCTGGGAGTTGGATTATGATTGCTATCTCGATTTGAGAAAAAAACGGTGAAAATCTTGTACATGAAACTTCTTCTCGCTCACTTTGAGCAAAAGAGTTAGATTCAGTTAATATTTCAGAAGAAGAGGAAAACTAAGGAAGTCAGTTTGTGATTGGTATCTCGATTTGACAATAACCAGGAGAATTTTGTCCTTGCTCACAAAAAACGTAAAAAAGAATTCCAACTCAATGGTATGCGGCTCGGACATTGCCAACTTTAGTGCGAGAGATGCTCACATTAAGCAAAAGGATCACAAAGCCGGTGATCTACGGGTGAATACAAACTCAAGTACATAGAAGTTGATATGGTCTCAAGTGATTCCTGATCGTCTAAGATCTGCTCACGTAGAAGTTGATATGGTCTCAAGTGTTCAAGAGATTGCGAAAATGAGCAAGAGCCTCTCCACAAAGAGTTTTTTCTAAAGGTCAATGAGGCATCCTCAGCATCGTCCACACCATCATCACACTCATCCTCCAACTTCTCACTAGGACTGTTTTGGATGAGAAGAGGCGGTTTAGGGATTCAAACTTTGGTATTACCTCTTTAGCCATGAGCATCGATGAGTGATTTGCATGTTCTCATTGGGGGAGTCAAAAAGGCCAGTGAAGGAGGAGGAGGGTATGGAGTGCACTACAATGGCGGTCGTACCCACATTCTCATCTTCATCGTATTTTGGGGACCGATGTCAATTTTGGGGACGAATCCAGTGACCGTAGGTGGATTTCACTTCCAACTAGGGTAATGGAGGCCCACTTTCAATCTCCGCCTTTTGATGATCGACCACAAAACCATCGAGTATAGCACGAGATAATTACGAAAACAATGTATCAAAAGGAGATGATTGCCATACAAATCGAGCTCCCCCAATTTGTGTGCATTTTTTAAGATTTGCTTTCGAGACGCAAATGCACACATCCTTAGAAGTGTGAGAACATCCAAGTATATATAACAAACATCACTAAGTGCATTATATGAGAACGTAGATAAGCATGGATAAAATTAGAGAATAAGCAAACACATGTTCCCACAGGCCTTCAGGTCTCCAGTCGAAATCCAGCTCATCATCCGAGTCCTGAAACTGAAATGCTTCCATGCTTTCAATGATAGCCGCTGCAGAAAGGAGAACGGGAGCCGTGTCAGCAAATGAACAATTTTTCGATCAATCGCGCTTATTTATACTACCTGAATAAGAATCTTATCTACCGGCAGATTCGACGAAGGAAATCTGCAATGGAACCTTGAATCTACGAGCAGTTTCTTGGCAGAAAACTGCAATGAGATGCCCATAAAATTGGCTAGAATGAAATGTAGTTTGCTGGAGCAGAAGAGAAGAGAAGAGCAGAGATGAGATGAGATGTCAGTACCGAGCCAATCGAACTCCTCTTCTGCCTCGGCGTGCTTGGACCGGCTCTCCGAGTTCATCAGCGTGTTGTAGGCGTGCTTGATCCTCAGGAACTTCGCCTGAGCATCCGCCTGCATTGAGCCAGGAGGTTGGTCAGCAAAATCTCCATTGGGGTAGCAGTACTGAAGCTTGTTCTGCTGCTGAATCATGTTGCTTGGATGGGAAGAGGAGGGGAGCACCGCACCTCCTTGCTGACGTCCGGGTGGAACTTGAGCGCGAGGCGCCGGTACGCGCGCTTGATCTCGGCGGGCGACGCCGACGGTGACACGCCGAGCACCTCGTGCGGGGACTCCCTCCTCCGCCCGCCTCCGCCGCCGGCGCCCGCGCGGACCCGCACGCTCGCCCGCCGCGTCGACCGGGGGGAGCAGGGGCCGGGGCCAGAGCGGAGGAGAGGGAGGCGAGGAGGCGCCGGACTCGGAGCCGACGTGAGCCGGCGCGAGGGAGGGAGGAGGAGACGCGGGGCGACGGCGGCCTGCGCCGACAGCGCCATTGCCAATGGGGTTGCGGGGCTCGCGTCCTCCGCCGTTCAGATCGACCGCCGCAGAGGATCCAACGGCCGCGCTACAAGGTGATCGTTTTTGTGCCAAAACCTTCCGTGACTACACTTTTTACTGCAAAAATTGTACTCCCTCCGTTCCTAAATGGAAGTCTTTTAAGAGATTGCACTATAGACTACATACAAAGCAAAATAAATGAATCTATACTGGAATGGTCGATCTAATCCTGGAATGGTTGATAAATACATCATCTATTGTGTAACAGAAATCAGCTGGGGAAAACCATACTAAGCTGTACATCATAGTATGTTTTAACCATTGTAAAAATCTGCATAGCATTGAGATCTGTGGGCATGATTTTGAATGACATCCAAGCGCTAAGAGCAAAAGTTTAATCTCAAATGCAGAGTAGAGACTTTATGATCTGAAAGCACCATATTTGAAGCAATTTAGTTTGGTTTATGCTCTCTGTTCTGATGAATATAACACAGTGAAGTCAGTCCTGAATTTTAGTGTAAAGATAGAGCATAATAGAAAAATAAAAATTAGTCCCAAGAGGGTATTTGTCGGCCTGGGGTGTATGTTTATCCCTTTCATGGGAAAATGATTAGATCAGAGGAACAGTGCTAAAAATCTGCTGCACTGGATAAAAACTGGGTGCTTTTGATTCCATATGTTTGGCAACCTATAGGTGTTGAGAATAATAATCTTGTCTACATGGTGAGGATCGGAGCTGCCGCTCCCGGCAGGACGCCTTGTCCTGGTCGCACGAGCGCCCTTGAGAAAGCAATAAGTGGTTTCACAGAGAATCCTTGGGAGAATGTGATTATGCCTGCAATGGGTACACTGATGGAAAACTATTTCTTGTACTGCATGGCTTTATACATTGTCATACCTAACCTGCGAGTTTTATGGGTAGGTATGTCTTTGAGAACAATAATATCATCATAGTTCTGTCCATGCATATTTATTGTTCATTCTTCTGAAATTATGTGGACAATATCAGCGTTTTTATTACTTTACCATCATATCTCATTATTTGATAGTCCACACTGTGTTCACTGCTCTTATATCATGGACAGATTATCTAAGAATTGAAAAGTGATTTTCTTTTCACAGAATGTATGTTACTGTTGCACATTCTTTATTCACTTCATGAAGTTGCAGTGTGAATACCAATTGATAGTGATAATACTCGTACTTTTGAAAAATCATGGTTGGGTAAGGAGGGATGGTACTTTCTTGATTGTACGGTGCCGTTCAGTTATCAGTAGTCCAGCATGACATCATTTGTTAAGCATGAAAGGCATGAATCAATTCTTCTTCGGGATTCTGGTTTTGTTGACTTAAGTTGGTATTGTTAGGAGCCAGAGCGGTTAAATTCAGGAATTGTGATCGTTAATTATGTAGTCTTAATTGTGATTTACCCTGTAATTAGAGTGCTAATTCTACATCTCTATGCCTTATTTAAGTATTGGTATTTGGTAGATGAGCAGGATAGGCAAGGTTAATGAAAAAGGAAGTTTCTTTGCAAGACAATGGTGTGGCAAATGATAGAAATATTCAAGTCTGACGGGGAAGTTGATTTGCAGGACTCTAGAATTAGCTAAGCTCTGGCATTCTGTTATATCTTTAATTTTATTTAAGAGATGTTTTGCTGTTTGCACATGATGCATAGTAAAATGCTTTCTAAATTCTGTGTCAGTTTGAGATATTTTGAAACTGTACTGATCTATTGTTTGTTAGCCATGAAACACTTGTGAATAGAATTTTGCCCAAAAACTTATAAAAACCCTGGTTGGATCGGAAGTCTTGTTCTGCTGCACCCAGGAAGAAGAGTAAATTTAGAATAAAAAATAGGAACAAATAAATCTGTTTTTTTATTGGATTCTATATATACAATTGTCCAAATTCTTCTGAAGCATCCAGATACCAGTGCCAAACCAAACATCGGAATGTGGTTTGACTTGATGGCTGATTGCTGTTGCATTTTGCTCACCTTGTCATTGGATGTAGGAATTTGTGGGATGGAAACTTTGAGATCATTACGAACTTTGTCAGGATGCCCGTTTTGTAATGGGATTTGATTGGATAATATGATCTCGGTTTGTTCTTTTGCACATTGTCCTGTTTCAGTTTTGGGTTACTAATGTGTGTTGAGTTGCTGCATTTTGATCAGATTGTATGGTAATGCTATGTTTTTTTTTACATTCAGAATATTTCGCTTACTAACGAGGTAGCTGCTGCTGGAGATTTTTCCTTGTGCTTCGGCATTTGGGAGTTACTGAATCACTGAACTGAACAGTTTGTCTGTAAACTCAAACAGGTGGGGGAAACCGTGCGCAAGCAGCAGCGGGGGTGGAAGTCATGCAATGGCTCTCATTATCAGTTACGATCTGAGCCGGGACGCTGCAGATGTGGGCCATGGGATGTGAAAATGAAGAGATACGATGCTATATACAAACTGAAATACTGCAGGAAGCTCGAATCTTTAAGGGAACGAATTGATTGGATAACGAGAGCAGGTGTGCTCCAGCTCAGAATAGCACTTTCGGTAAAATGTGGCACAACTTTGGCAATATGGCATAAAAGTTGAGAATTTTTCCAAAAGAGAATAAAATTTGTCATAAAGCTGAAACCAAGGAGCAAAAAGAGGAATTAACACTTTCTTAAACTTGCTACAAATTCATATCCAATAAAAGGTGTTGCCCACACATGTGTGTGAGTCGTTGTGCTAGTAGTAATACAGGGTATGGTAAAAAAAAACGTCTTGAAAAAATTGTACCCCACATAGATGTGTTCCGATCAGTATATGGGCCGTCTGCATGCGTTGCAAAGTTCCCAAGGTCTTGGGCTGTCGCACCCTACGGATCATCATCGGATGGTGTGGATCCAATGTGCTTGAAGTTGAAGATATTCGATTTCATGTATTCAATCAGAATAGCAACGATGGTTGTGATCTCTCCGCCGTTGCTGAGTTGTCTGGCATGGGAATCTGGTGTGCACCTGTAGCTCGTGTAGCACAGCATCTGCATCCACACCTCGGAGATGAGGTCCAGCATGCAAGGACCCATAGCAGGTGTCTCTGACGCCATGCCTATCAGCTTCGCGCTAAGTCGAGATGCTCTGTCAAATGTTAAATTCTCTTGCAATGTTTCAGTAGTCTCATCAGGCGAATGGCTATCCATTGTTGATTTAGCTTGCAATGTCTGAGCAGTCTCAGGACTATTGAGCTCTTCCCCGCGCTGCCGTATTAATGCGACCAGCTCTTCTGCTGAGTTATACTTGAGATTATTGATCACCTTGTTGCACAATTCAATATACCTCTGTCGACTAGCATTGTTGGGCAGCATGTGCGGACGTGCGGCAAGCAGGAAAACCATGTAGTTGGAGAGCACCTCGACCGTCTTAAAAAGATCTGGCCTGGGCGAGTATCTCACATCGTGCCAGCTGAGGTACACATGAGTGGCGATGTGCCACACGAGGATGCTCTCATCCAGCTCGATGTCCACGTTCCAGCTGAGCAGTTCCTCTTGCGATATACCCATCCTCTTCAGCGCCGCCTGGCCCCGTGAGTTCTGGATGTGATCTGGGCTCTCTGTGCTGACGCCCACACTTTGCAACATTTGTTCCCGAAGCAACTCGCTGAAATCTTCCGGGACTGGAATGGACGAAGTGTAAACCAGCATGTTCCACAAGTCCTCGCGTCCCATCCACCTCACGATTTTGCTGCTCCGACTGTCCCTGCTCTTTGTGCACATGTGGATAAGGTTGTGCTGCCCCATGGAGCCCGACCAATACCTTATTGGCACTCCTGCCTTTGACATTGCATAGTAACAGAGATTACGGGGCAAGGTAACCACAATCCGAAGATACATAAAAAGAACCTCCATATTCCCTATAGAAATACCCATTTTGAAGATGGCCGCTTGTGCCCAGCTGGAGAACATGGCTCGTAGCAATGATGTGACCTCCAGGACGACGGCGCCAGCCAGCAAAACATAGGTGACAGCGACATGTACTCTGTTGTACTCGTTGTCATCATCTTCTTCACTGAATCGACGGAACAACAGGAAAGCGGTGATAGTGGCCAATGGCGACATGACACGGATGCAGAGCCCGCACCAAGTGTAGATCACCGGGGCCTTGCTGTAGAAGACCTCGTACATGATGGAGAGCTGCACCTCGGCCATCTTGCATAATGAACTCCACTCACGATCCTCCAACCCCACTGCATATGCTACAATAGGTAACGGTCCCTTCAACAAATGCATTGGGAAACATACTAGCAGGTGAGCTGACATCACTCTGTAACTGTGGCCTGGAACCATGATAGATATCCCGCGCTGTAGCACACCCACCGTGCCAAAACTCTGATAATTCTTGCCCGATAGATGACTGCTGCTACCACACTTGAGTGCCCATACTCTCTCTCCGTACTTGGTAACACCAACCGCAAACATGAGGATGGCAGACCGACGGAGCAAGCTCGTGTGAGCCACGACAGAGGACTCGTAAAGGACATAGCCAGCTGCCAGTACCTGCACAACAAAAGTCTGCAGGTGTCGCATCCAAAGCCGGTTGCCTTCGATGGAGTAGGCGGTGACGTTGTCCTGGCCGCCAAGATGCAGCAGCAGGAAAGGCGCCCAGAACGCCATCAGCTGGCGCTCAGGCAAATTCCTGCTGCTGGTCACAGACATTTTTTTTTTAGAAAAGGAGGATGACCCCCGGCCTCTGCATCTGGGCGATGCATACGGCCATTTTATTAATTATTCTCACAAGACCTTACAAAGACATACAACAGCAAGACTAAAGCCACTTTCTCAGCAACAACTGTCGCTACACCTATCCAATCGATGAAGGGGCGCTGATAGTCTGGGCCTAAAACCAAACAGACATCGCAGCCAAACCTAAACATCTAAGACCTGAGGTCCCAACCAGGACGCCTGCCGGGTATAAGGTACCTACCAGTCCGGCTCACTCCTCAACCAGGACGCCTGCCGGGTATGAGGCCGCCGCAGCCACCTGCCACCAAACCATCTTCAGAGCTATACTGTTGCATCTACCTTGCACGGTCTAGCTACCATCGACGCCACCATGACGCCAGACAGCTCCACCGCTCTGCGCTCGTCCATCCCGACGCGGACACTCTGAAAGATCTGTCGTGCGTAGCACCTGCCGACTAGGCATGACACAGCGTAACACCTGTCGGTCAGGTATGACTTGACATCTCTTACCAGACGCATCTGACGCGGTTAGAACGCCGCTCCTCGTGCCAACCACCACACCATTGCCGCTGCTGGAACTGACACACGAAGCCGTTCACCCATAGCAACTCCCCCGAACGCCCAAGCCTCCCAAGACGGCGCCTCCATGGAGGTTACGACGCAAAGGGCGCCGCCGCCGTCCAATCCAAGACGGATTTTGGACTTTCGTCCGGGAACGGAATGGAGGTGGATAGGAGGGACCTCGACTTTGCCATCAAGATGGGTAACGACGTCAAAGCCGTCGCCGATGCCGGGCCGAGCTAGCCGACCAAAGTTTCCTCCGGTCCTCTTCCTGTCCAACCAATCTCCATCTGCTTTGGATCTGGCAGCAGCCAAAACCCGAAAACTCCAGAGAGGGAAGCACCATAAGGCTCAACACCTCCGGCGTAGATCCACCCAGGCACCGGATCAAGGAAGACCCGACCTGGCAGCGACGAAAGCCACCATCCTGCGCCGGCCGACGGCGATCAGGCACCGGATCACGGACCCGAGACCGACGGCGCACGCGACCACCAGATCCAGCGGCCGCACCACGCCGCGAGCACGAACCCCAACCGCCGGCGCGCAGTGCACGTCGCGGCCAGGATCCATCTGCAGCGCCGCCGCACCCCGCAAAAATACAGCGCCTCCTCTCGATTGGCCGTCCCGCGCCAGCCCATTCGGGGGAAGGGGAAGGGAGCCCCGCCGCCGCCCCTGCCGGCCTGGCTTCGCCCGGCGGCGCTACTGGCGGCGGCGAGGATGGAGGAGATGCGGGAGAGTCCGGGCGCCGGCGGCTAGGGTTTCCCCCTGGTCGCCCACGGGGGCAACCCGAGGGGTACGCGTTATCCTTCCATCAAACGATGGCTCACAGACATGTGGCCCAAAACGTATATCGCCGTCGTGTCGGCCAGCTGATAGGCTGACCAAACGATGGCTCTTAGCACGCCGGAGTCCTTGAACCGACGGATGTCCGCCGTGATGAGGAGAATGACCTGCAGTGCGAAGCTTAACAGCACCAACGCGTGGATACCCCATTCTTTCCAAAACACCACTAACTCATCTACTCCTCCGGCCATTAATTACCTACTATCAACTGGAACTGCAAAAAAAAAAAAAGAACAACAACCATGGCGATTAACTCCAAATCCAGATTACTCCAAGCTAGCGGCGCGTGGGGTATTACTCGGTTAAAGACAACAACAAGCTACTAATTGAACTTCTTATGCGCGCGAGATTAAGGTAAAACTAGGAGCACTAGGACTTACAGCGCGTATATAATCCTGTCAGGCGAGCGATGATCCACCGGCTGCAGCTACCAGGAGAGAAGAGAGTTGCATCGAGCAGAATAATTAGTTCTCAAATGCCTGATGACCATGCGACGCGAACAATGAATGAGAAGTCCTGGCCGAGCTTCACGGCCAGATCCAGTCTTGCAAAATAATCAAGTCCACGGAGCTCGATAACTATCACATGGATCGAAAACTTTCCATGTTACTTGAGCATCTCTCACATGGCCAAGAATAGTTTTTATTTTACCCAGTATACAGAGAGACGGTGCTTCCAAATGATAAGTGTAACACATGTTGGACGAACCAATTCCGTCCAGACATTTTTTGATGGCAAATTTAGTTATTCGGGTATGACAACTTTAGTTGTAAAGCATGACAACTTTCTGAGCTCTGCCGAATTAGTTGTACGCAAACTACTAAGAGCATCTCTAACAGACCCCTTATATCGTGGACCCTTATAGTGCATTTACAGTCACGGAAAATATGCTTTGCAGGCTGACGCGGGTTGCGGCCGAACAGACCACGCATAGCGGAACTGTTTTTTCTTAGAAAAGAAGGATTACCTCCGGCATCTGCATCTGAGCGATGCGTGCAGCCATTTTATTAATTATTCTCAGAGACCTTGAAAAGCATTACATGAGTAAGCCTGAAGCCACCATCTTGGTGATGCATGTCGCTACTCATATCCCCTTGATGCATGGGTGCCGAATGTCCCAGCCTAATACCAAACAAACATCGCACCAAAACCTGACATCTAATGTCGGTTACCGGTAATGGGTCACACACCAGTCTGGCGCACTCACCGAGGCTACCGCAGCCGTCATCCACCTAACCATCTTCAGAGTAGGTACTGACGCAAAGACCTTGCCATGTCAGTTGTCGACGCCACCATCTTGGTGATGCCTGTCGCTACTCATATCCCCTTGATGCATGGGTGCCGAATGTCCGAGCCTAATACCAAACAAACATCGCACCAAAACCTAACATCTAATGTCAATTACCGGTAATGGGTCACACACCAGTCTGGCGCACTCATCGAGGCTACCGCAGCCGTCATCCATCTAACCATCTTCAGAGCAGGTACTGACGCAAGGACCTTGCCATGCCAGTTGTCGACGCCACCATGGCGCCAGACAGCGCCACCACCCTGCGCTCATCCATCCAGCTGCATCTGTCGTCGATATCCAGTTGCACCATGCCACCAATGCTCGCCGTCATCGACGCAGTAGAAACAACGCCGCACCTCCTGGCAACCTCCACACCGTCGCCGCTGCTGGAGCTACGCGGAGTCCATCACCCACAACATCTCTCCGCCGAACAACAGAACCTCCCAAGACGGCGTCTCCATGGAGGGTACAATGCGAAGAACACTGTCGCTGCCCAATCCAGTCTGAATTTTGGACTTTCGTCCGAGAGTGGTTCAGAGGTGGATAGGAGAGACCTCGACATAGCCTCCACGGAGGGTGAAAGTGCAACTAATCCCTGGGTGGTTTTGGTAATTGTTAACAACATATAGTTCATTGAACTAATGCTCTTTCAAGATGATCATTTTGAAAAGTTCAATGATTGGCATGGCATGGACTAGAGATGTGGACCACCCAAAATGCAAAGGACATATATTGGCAACAAGCTCAAGACTCTATATTTTCATTTTAGTGATCCAAGATCACATTGAGTCCATAGGAAAGACAATACTATTAAAAGGGGATGAGGTGTTGCTTAATGGCTCACTTGCTCAAAATGCTTAGTGATATGCTCCAAAACCCTCAACCACTTTCTCATTTCCACATATGTCCTAAACCTAAAAGTCAAATTTGGCCCCACCGATTTGATCTATCCGGCGCCACCGAGTTTCATTTGACATAGCCACTGCCACAAACCCTAGTTACTTCGGTCTCACCGATAGGGATCTCGGTCTCACTGAGATGGGATTGCAAACTCTCAGTTTCCTTTTTGTAACATTTCGGTCTCACCGAAATGAGCAAATCGGTCCCACCGAGTCTGCATTGCAAACTCCCTGTTTCCTTTTCGTAACATTTCGGTCCCACTGAAGTGAGCGAATTGGTCCCACCGAGTTTGCCTGACCAACCCTCTGTGCACCTATTGCTGAAATCTGTCCCATCGAGTTTATGCGATCGGTCACATCGAGATTACGTTATGCCCAAACCCTAGCATGTCGGTCTCACCAGGATGACTATATCGGTCCCACCGAAAACTCTAATGTTCATATTTTTACCTGGATCGGTCTGACCGAGTTTGCTGATTCGGTCCCACCGAGTTTGGGAATCTGTGTATAACTATTAGATTTTGTGTGGAGGCTATATATACCCCTCCACCCATTCCTCATTGTAGAGGAGAGCCATCAGAACGTACCTACACTTCTACTACTCATTTTGTGAGGGAGAACCACCTACTCATGTGTTGAGACCAAGATATTCCAATCCTACCATATGAATCTTGATCTCTAGCCTTTCCCAAGTTGCTTTCCACCCAAATCATCTTTCCACCATAGCCAGATCTTTGAGGGAGAGTTGAGTGTTTGGGAGACTATCATTTGAAGCACAAGAGCAAGGAGTTCATCAACAACACACCATCTATTATCTTTTGGAGAGTGGTGTCTCCTAGATTGGTTAGGTGTCACTTGGGAGCCTCCGTCAAGATTGTGGAGTTGAACCAAGGAGTTTGTAAGGGCAAGGAGATCGCCTACTTCGTGAAGATCTACCCTAGTGAGGCAAGTCCTTCGTAGGCGATGACCATGATGGGATAGAGAAGGTTGCTTCTTCGTGGAACCTTCGT